CATAAGGTATGGATTCATCGTCATTTGTAATGATTCTGCTGCATTTGGCATTTGAGAAAAATTTGAAAGTTGATTTCTTGTTATTTCGTGTTGTTGAAGATAATATGGGAGTGGTATTTCATTTTGCATTTGTGCTGGTTGGTACGAGTTTGCAATCATTGGGTTTTGTTGTTGAATTGGTTGAAAAGAATTATTAATTGGGTTTTGTTGTTGAATTGGTTGTTGAATTTGTGTATCTATTGGTTGTGGAGAAAAAATTCTATGATATGTATGTGGTTTCTGTATTCCTTGTCCACGATATTCTTGATTATTGGGTGTAAATATATCTGGTTGTAAGAAATCATCATCTGAGGATAAGTAATCCATTTGATAAGATGTTTGTCCTTTATTTTTATTTTGTTGAAAAAATGGATAGTTTTCACTACGATCCTGTGGAGGATGTAAATTTGTTTGGAAATTTACTGAATTAGGTGGTGCCATTGGGTTATTCCAGTTTCGAGATCTTGTATAATTACTAAAATTTTTTCGTGGTTGATAATTTGTTTTTGATGGATGTGTGTAATTATAATTATGGTCTGCAAAGTTGTTTCTAGTGAACGTTTTGCGTGTTTTTTGCGGTATTGTCATGGGTCTGTATGTTTGGTAATCCATGTGTGAATATTTTGGAGCAACCGAAGGTTTAACGGTTGATTGTAATGTTACCTGTGTTTGTGAAGAATTTGTATTTCTTGGTGTTGTTAAGTTTGGACGTATTGGTGAAATACTTTGTTGTGTAGTTGTTGTGTGTACGATTTCTTCATTTATGAAGTGTGATGGTGTCTGGATATCTTGTTGAGTAAGATTCCTAGTTCCATTGAGGTTTTCATTGTGTATGACTGTAGAGTTTAAACTATTATTTTGCATATCGGGTAAAAATGTATTATAGTTTAATGGTGTTGCATCAATGGTTAATGGTATTACTCGTACATAATCTCTTACATAAGATATCGTACTTATTGCTTGACTTGAGATTGATTGTGGGAAGTTTATGAATGCGGGATGAGACCATTCGGGGTCCCAAACATAGTCTGATTGTTCTGTGATGGCAGTATCATCGTTGGAGTTTTTGGGTCTAAAGTTTTTTCTTGCTTGTGAAATTAAATCAATATTATGTGTGAAATAATCTATTATGAACCATGCCAAGATTTTTTGTAAGTCGTGTTTTGTATGTTGTGAAACTTCATCTTTCGTGAAATTTTCTTTAATTATATTTAGAAAACTAGAGAGTAGTGTGATTTCATGTCGTACTCTTATATGTTTAGATGTTTCTGTCGGTGAGACATTTGGTATCTGGATTTCGTTTTCTAATATCGAGATATAACTATATATTATCGCAAAAACTTCATTGGTGAATATGGAGTTTGCTCTTTGTGAGTTATGATATTGGATGCTTTTTATATATTCTGAGAATACTTTTGAGAATTCTAAATCAAGGTCGTCTGTTTGAATTATATATTTACTGTGATTCTGGTTTGGTGAGCTGAATTCTAAGGAGTAGATTCCGTATTGTTGTGTTAGGTTACATATATCTTTTAGATAGTGATCGATAATTTGTCTTTTGATTTTTACATCTGGGAACTCTGTTTTACATGGACTGATTCCGGGTTCAAACAAATTTAAGAGTAAATTTTTGCAGAATATATGCTGTCCTCTATCAGTGGTTGCATCTACGATAAAGGGGAAAATATCATCATCATCTGGACTTTCTTCACCTGGGGTGTGCGTTGAGCTCATTTTTTCGTTCGATGACTGTTAATATGTAATTATCAATGTGTCTAATTGGTTGATTCCAATTGTATAAATGTACTGGTTTGTGTTTATACTGCTTTTTTATTCTTCTTTTTCCTCTTTTTGATGAATTTGAAGTTGTTTCTGAGTCAGAGAAATATAATTGATCGTGAATTGGGCAATTTTTATCTATTGATTCTTTTAGTTTATAAAGTTCGTCTAAACTGTTGGTTTCTGATTCTGAAAATGCGTTTCGATTTTTTGAAAATCTTTTTCGTGTTATTTGTCTTTGTTTAGTTAGTATTTTTCTCTTTAATGTTTGTCGTTTTGTTCTAATGTATCCAACTGTTTGTGTATGAGGTGTGATTACAAGGTCGTATTTTTTGTTATTTATTTCACAATTGTGTAAAACGATTGTTTGTTTATTTCCTAGGTTTTTAAATGACATAAGGTTTTGGATGACGGATGCAAAAGGTTGTTAAATGATTTCTATTCGCTTAAACTGTTAGTCCTTACGATTTTTTTGTTAGCCTAACCTGGGTCTATTTGTTCAGGGTTGGGGAGAAAAGTATATCGATTCCGAAGAATGATTTTATACTTTCTCGTGGCTAGTATAAGCTAAGGTGTTAACTTACTTAATCTTACTTAAGGGTAGTGATTGTGTTCAGGGTTGGAGAATAGTAAATCGATCCACAGGGTTCAGGTATAATTAGAACGCGAGTAGTTCGTTAGATACTATTTTAAACTTACTAAGTCTAAGATTTATCCTGGGTCTGGTAAGAGGGGGGATCAAGTGAAGGATGAATAACCGAAGTTCTTCACTGTTTATCCTAATTTGAATGATTAGTTTTGTTCAAAAATTTCTATTAGTCCTGGGTTTTTAGAAAGGGTTGGATAGTGAATCGACGTTTGAGGTCGTTAGACACTCGTTTAGTGGGTGGGGGAGAACAAAGTTGTTCTTTTTGATCCAAGGATAGGCCTTGATGATCAAGTTTTAAATTTAATTAAATAGAAAATGATTTAAGATCCAAGGATAAGCCTTGATGATCTGATTTTAAAATTAAGCGAATTTAAGTTTAAAATGTTTTAAATTTGTGTAAAGAATAGATTTAGTATTTTTATGATATTAGTGAGCTTATGATTGCTGTTATGTTTAGGCGATGAAGCTGGAACAACAGGATGATTTATAATTACTAATCATTTTTTGTCATGCTACTAATTTTTATTTTGATTTTTCAATAAATATTTTTCAAACATGTTTTGTATATTACTGCAGAATTTTGGAAAACGATCTGAGATCTTTTTATCAATCGTTATCGTATATTAATAATTTTGTTTAGCGCCTGAAATGATTTTGAAGATTGACTTCAAAATTTTACGTTTGCAAATGAAAATCTAAATTCATTGCTAGTAGTATTCTAAATACAAAAGTTTGTGTTGGCTTTTGCCGAACTATCATATAACTATATGGTAAATTTCTGCTTTGTCGTATGTCGTCTCTGGTTCGAGGTCTTCTTCCAATTCCGGGTAGTTCTGTTATCGTTCGGAATATTGGCTCTGATCTATTGAGTCGTAGAGACATTTCGATTAAATTATTGTCGTATAACATTTTGTAAATGTTTTGTCTAAATTCTAATCTATTATTGGTTAATGCTAAGCTATTAAGGTCTTGTTCGAGACTTATGGTCGCACCAGATGAGTTATGACCGATGGGTATAACTCATAGAGTAATTTCGGATAGGGCACACCGTCTGCTCGTCACGCTATCTTATTTTCGGCCGGATAGATTCGTGCAACTTCTTAGTCTAATACCGATCCTAATCTTACTCTTATACTATCTAGTCTCAGGTTGTTTAACTAGTCTCTGCTAGGCTCAATAGATCTAGGGTATACTGGTTTATTGCGGCTGCTGAAGTACTCGGGAGAGTTCAACTAATTTCTAAGTTAAATTCAAATCTCTCTGGTGCTGAAATTACAAGTAATTTCAGCACTTACAAATAAGTGGATTGTTAGTTAGATGGATCATGATTGGTTAATATTAAATACTTTACATTGGTAAAATATCTAATTTATCCAATCATAAAATGTAGTTTAGATCAGGTTCCAACTCGGGCTCTTCTATGAAATTTATCATTTGAATTTATTTGCTCAAAGCTTGTATAGAAAAGTCGAAATGGGAAAAAAAAAATTAAATGTCTGAAACTTTATGGGAGGGGTAAGCTATTCACAGGTCCCGATTTTTTTCATTTGATTTCTAGCATAAGAATTCACATAAAATTCTTACAACATAAACAGGTAGGCTTACAAGATTGTTTCAAGATTTTGAATTGTACAAAGACCTGGGCTATTAATTGCTCCTCGCGGTGGAGAACTTTCATGCGCGAAGGAGCCGAATGCAAATGCGCGAAAATTATGTACAACCAATCAGAGTTTAGTATTCGTAAAATCGAAAGATATAAGTGACTTCAGTAAGTTTTGAAAAGTTGTAAGAGCGTTGCTGGTTGAAAGTTTTCGCCCATTCTGTCTTTTGTGCAGGACATTAGTCCCCGTCTGAGTGCTTAGTAATAGGAAAAATCATAAACTTTTTTTTGTTAATTTTGTTGATTCAGTCATCTTCGGTCTGTTCGCGTGTGCATTCGGGACTGACAAATATGGAATGTACGAAGAGCCCTGGAAGATGAAACTCATATTTCTGTGGGGTGGTTTCGTAGCCACTGTACTTGCTCTAATCATGGGCGTGTTAGTGGTCGTGTTCAGAAACACAGAACGAGTCAACTTCGAGAAGTGAAGAAAGAAAGAACTTTCTAGAAAATCTATGCAGATTCGAATACGCAAGTTTAGTTTTGCTTACCGCTACTTTCGATCGGTCTTTTGAAAATCAGTAATCTGCCCTTGGTCTTTCTCCGTTATGATTTGCCCTATCCTTCTAAATTTGACAATCAATTAAGCGTAAGCCCTTCTTGAATAGCCTAACATATTTTTTATGAAAAAAAACTTTTCCCTAATTGCACAAATAATACTTGAAAAATATCTAAAGCTCTTTATAAAGTTTCATGACTTATTTTGCTACGAAAGCTTTGAAATTATGCGCAGATTGTAGAGCGGTGGTTTCAATACTTCCCAAGAAAAGTAAGTTTCTTTTCAGGTTCAGAGGATTTAAAATCTTGGAAGAAAAATCAGCAGCCGAACATGAAAATTAAAGGATTAATGAATTGAATATCAGGAAAACTGGATTGAAAAATGGAACTTTGATTGATTGGAACCAAAATAGATGATTGATAATATTCTTTATGATCGAAATTGAACTCAATTCTCATTTTTCATTTAAGATAATGTATATGTGCAAAACAAAACTCATCTCTAAAAAATTCGCAAATTTAAATTAGTAGTACGACATCGGTGCATTGACAAAATGCCATCATGATGTTAGTTCGTTGCGAGTCACTGTCAACAGTTTTCTAAAGCAGTTTAAGCATATGTTAAATATATTGCGGGTTATAATTCTCATCACATTTTTGACCGATTTTTGATTGTCGGAATCTTGTTCACGGGGTGTCTCTCGCTACTACTCGTGGGTTCGGTTTTGGCATCGACAATCCATCTCGTAGCAATCCCTGCCTCAGACAGGCGTTGATAACCGAAGTGACGTCATCTAGATTTTTCAAATCTTTCACTTCCACTTCCAGAATTTGAAAAGGTTTTGCAGCAACTAGCGAGTCGAAGCCGATATAGTTACGAATTTTGCTCCTGCGAAATCGGAAAGTTTGAGCAGATCTATTCGACGTGATAGATTTTAGATTAAAATTATGTTTTTAACATATCAAAACTTCATGTGAAATCTTTGAAAACAGAGCTCAAGAAACAAGCTTAACTGAAAAATTTATGGTTCTAAATTGATTTTTTTTCGGTATTTTTTAGCTAACTACTTTTTCTTATACTTAATTTCTGTTTACTGAGGATACTTAAAAGTCGCTCTTCCACCAAGTATGTCTGCTTTAATCTTACCTGTCAATTCTAGATTCTGATTGGCCCTTGCTGTTGTAGATGATAGCCAATGGGGGCACAGATTGGTTCTTGCGTAGAAAAGGCATGTGGATGTTGAGATCGTAATCGTCCACGTTTTCTTTGGTGCAGTCTAGAAATATGGCGAGACAGTTGATCTGGTTCAACACAGGTGTGAATTCTTTCTCCATCCGGAAGTCAAACCCTGGCTCACAAAAATGCACCTAAAATATCTCAACACTTACCTTTGCTTCTCTCAATTTTTAGGAAGAAAACAGGTCTAAAATCATAAAATTGGCCTGAATGCTGACATTATCTCCCGATTCATTGTATTTACCAACCCTCCCCGGGTCGAGCTTGTGATTTTTTGATCAGACGGTCACGACCAATTTTTGGTATGTCCAGATTATCGCGACCAAAATTGATTTTTTTTCAGACCGCCGCGAAGGAACTTTCATTTTTCCAGACTCTGTTGACCGAAACAATGTGTCCGCAACCGCTGGGACCGGAAAAAGATAACTGCGAACGGCGCAAACCAAGAAAAATTAACCACAACAGACGCGACCGAAGCGAAATTAACCGCGACTGGCGCAACCAAAAAAAAAACAATAATCGCGACCAGCGCGAGCGAGAAAAAATCAACCGCGACCGGCCAGACGCAACAAAAATAAGTAACCGCGACCAGGGCTTGCGATTTACGTTGGGATCATCAATTGATTAGTTTCAATCGTCTCGAAGCGGGCTCGAAATTTTTTTTTCGACAAGCTATGTTTTGACTACGTTCGACCGAGGAAAAACATTTCGACTGAGTTCAACCACACAGTTTTTTGACCGATGGAAAAACCTTAACTTGTGTTTGACTGAATAAAAATTTAGATTGCTTTCGATTATTAAAATTACATATATACTGGTTTATTTTGCTGTTTGCAACCGTTTTACAGTTTTTAAAGCAAAATTATCCGACAAACATTAAAAAGTAAAATCAAATTAGTTTTGGGATCAAAGCAATTGCTAGCTGCTTGTGATTTCAAGTTTCGACCATGTATTGGATAATTTTAGACTATGTCAAGGCGAAGATACCGACGCTGCTGTGATTAGTTTTTAGACCATGCTGCGGCTTAACTTTTGATCATTCCGTCAAAAATATTTCGAATAGCTTTTTCGACCCTGTCGCGACTAAGTTTTCGACAATCGCGACCTTACTACGTTATTTCCAGACTTGCCTTCGTTTATTTTTCAACCATCGCCACCGAGATACGACAATTTCAGGATTCAAAACCCTGTCCAAGCTATGGATTTTTGGTCCCGTAATTAACAACGGCGCGACCGAGACGAAGTTACAACAAGACTGCTCGTATCAGGGCGAAGCCCTGAATGTTCCGACTGCCTTTTAGGGTTTATTGAGCAGTAATAACATTAAAAAAATAAATGAAATAAGACAAAATGAAAAATTTTTTTTTCTAAACTTTGAAATTTTTCATGAAAATCATCCGCCCACACGCCATATAAAGTACAAAAGAATAGATTTCGCTCCTTGTAACAAATCATAATGGCAAATAAGCTTCTTTCAACCAATTTGGAACGATTTCTAAGACGGATTAACTCTCCGCTTACGCGTTAAAAGCGCGAAATATATCGCGCGTTAATTGCACCAAATTGGCCAAAATGGAAATCTTTAAACCCCTATAACTTTACGAAAAATGATCACAGGTGAAATATCTTTTCAAATTTGAGCTCAAGACAACAATACCTTTCGAATGATATAAAAAAATTCTGTCAAAAATGGCAAGTTAAAAAGTCGAAATTTGTCTGAAGAAAAAAAACCCACCCGAATTGCCAGCCCTATTAAGAAGTATTTCAACATTTAAGCTTTCCAGAAGTTTTTACCACGAATCTTCCCTTTTTAGTTTAGGGGGAATAAGTTTACGAGCTAGTGCTAGCAATTGATGTCAACTGTGTTATATATACATCTGATTTAGCGTACAGAAAATGGAATAAGCTGTATTCATCACTCAATTTTACTTGGTTGATTCATCTGGGTCAAAGACAACATATTGGCAAAACATGAAGCCGAGAAACATTCAAGCGCAAACTGATACAAACTAAAGGCTTCAAAACACCAGAAATGTGAAATATAAAAAAAACAATTTGTATTTTGTTTCAAGGTTACCTTAATGGCTGCGAAATCCTTCCTTTTGATGGCCGTTATTGAAATTTTTTTATTCACTCCATTAACAAGACTGCCTGCCCGTATACCAGGACAGATGTTCCAGCGTTCCAGTAGTTTAAATAAATGTATGAAGAAAATTTTGTCAAAAATTTTTTGACTACGCATATATGAAATATTAAAGTTGTTATTGTCCCGAAAGTGACGGAATATTTGTGCTCGAGGTGGTTTTTTTTACTTCAGACAATTTTCGACATTTTTATTAGCCATTTTTGACGGAACGTTTTTTATATTATTCGAAAGGTATTGTTTTCCTGAGCTAAAATTCGAAAAGATATTTCACCTGTGATTGTTTTTCGTAAAGTTATGGGGGTTTAAAAATTGCCACTTTGGCTATTTGGCACAATTAACGCGCAATATAATTCGCGCTATTAACGCGTAAGCGGAGATTTAATCCGTCTTAGAAATCGTTCAAAGTAGTTTAAAAGCTTATTTGCCATAATTGATTTATTACTAGTAGCGAATTTAATCACTTTGAACTTTATATGGCGTGTGGCGGGATGATTTTCACAAAAAATGTCAAATTAATTCTTTTCCTTTTATTTTATTGCAGCGTTTTGGAGATCAGCCTCACGACGTACTAAAAGATTAGCCGCTTGATATCTGAGTTGCTTAACTGTGGAGCAACGCATTATAGATTCTTCAGAAAGTGTTTAAATTGGACTTTTTTTTGGTTTTTTCAGTTATTTGTTATCTGTCCAGCTATGATAATGCCGTTTTTTATGCTTTAAAGATTTCTTTGGTTTCTTCAATGGTATCAGTTTATGTTAAATTGGTTTGGTTGCTCCGTGAAAAGTTGTTTGTAGGGTGAAAGCTTGTAGGGGTACAAAAGATACCATACCAAAAGCTCCCATGACAAAAGATATCATACCAAAAGATCCCTTGTATAAAAGACCATACCATAAAATCCCATGCCAATTAAGAAAATCCCATGAATTAAGAACAAAAATCATGATCAAATTGTAAGCAGAAATAAATCTAGAATATGATATCTCAATTAGGTTCGCGCTATTAAAAAACAATACAAATTTAAGATAACTAAATTTAAACTGGACTCATTTTTGGGATTAGGATAGTGCCAACATGTGCTTTATTTATTTAGTGTTAATATGGCAATGAATTAGAACAATTCAATTGAAAATGTATACACTCTGCATTCATTATCTCCCTCTTTAACTCATAGAATAGTCAAAAATAAAATCTTTTGTTTGGGCAACCTCACAAAAAGGCCAAACACTGATTATTCTTGACGGCCGTGAATTTCAAAAGAAACGCAAGACGAAGACAACGACACACTGGCGCTGCAGCAAATGGAGATCGTATAAATGCCCGAAAACTTTAATCAATTCTGGGAGCGTAATAATCTCACAGAGCAACGAGCATAGTCATGAGCTCAACGCAGGACGCTCAGAAGCTCGGCAACTACTTCAGCAAATGAAGGAGACAGTTAGGAATCAATTTAATCCAGTAAACAGCCAGATAATCGCAACTAGTTTGCAATTGGTGCAGGACGAAAAAGCAACCCAACTGTCGTTGTCCTCCCGGTTGCGAATTTTAAACAGAAGTAAACAAACGACATCCATGCCCACTATTACTCGATCGTTTTAAGCAATTTTGTCTTTTTGATAGCGGAAAACAAGATAAGTAACGCATATTATTTTTTGGCGACATTGAGAACCTCAATGCACTCAAATTGTACAACAAAACCTGGCTTGTAGACGGTACTTTCAAAATTTGACCCAGTCAGGTTTACCAGCTGTACACTGTACATATTTCAACGTTTAAGCTTTCAGGATTTTTTACCAAGTAACGAATCTCCCCTTTTTAGTTTAGGGGGAATAAGTTTACGAGCTACTACTAGCAATTGATGTCAACTGTGTTATATATACATCTGATTAAGCGTACAGAAAAAGGATTAAGCTGTATTCATCACTCAATATTACTTGGTTGATTCATCTGGGTCAAAGACAACATTTTGGCAAAACATTAGGCCGAGAAACATTCAAGCGCAAACTGATACAAACTAAAGGCTTCAAAACACCAGAAATGTGAATTATAAAAAAAAACAATTTGTATTTTGTTTCAAGGTTACCTAATGGCTGCGAAATCCTTTTGATGGCCCTTTTTGAAATTTTTTTGTTCACTTCATTAACAAGATTGCTTGCCCGTATACCAGGACAGATGTTCCAGCGTTTCAGTATTTTAAAAAAGTGTATGAAGAAAATTTTGTCAAAACAAATTTTTTGACTACGCATATATGAAATATTAAAGTTGTTATTGTCCCGAAAGTGACGGAATATTTGTGCTCGAGGTGGTTTTTTTTTTACTTCAGACAATTTTCGACATTTTTATTAGCCATTTTTGACGGAACGTTTTTTATATCATTCGAAAGGTATTGTTTTCCTGAGCTAAAATTTGAAAAGATATTTCACCTGTGATTGTTTTTCGTAAAGTTATGGGGGTTTAAAAATTGCCACTTTGGCTATTTGGCACAATTAACGCGCGATATATTTCGCGCTATTAACGCGTAGGCGGTGATTTAATCCGTCTTAGAAATCGTTCCAAGTAGTTTAAAAGCTTATTTGCCATAATTGATTTATTAGTAGTTGCGAAATATATCACTTTGAACTTTATATGGCGTGTGGCGGGATGTTTTCACAAAAAAAGTCAAATAGATTTTTTTCCTTTTATTTTATTGCATTTAATTTTTTCATATTATTACTGCTCCATAGATCTTAAAGGCAGTCAGAACATTTAGGGCTTTGCCCTATTACGAGCAGTCTTGTTTGAATTGTATAGGGAATTAAAATGACTGTTTAGCTGGCTTAAAATCAATTTAGAACGCTTTGGATTGCAGTATATATAACGATGCATAAATTATTTGCGTTGCGCTTCCAGCGTCAAAAGCATCAAAACGCACATAAATTAGTTGAACGTTGCCAAACAGCCCCATTTCAAACCACTAGGTTTTCTCAAAAAAGTAGGAAAAACGATTTTTTTTATAAATGTCAACTCAAAGAAACTATGTCTTCATTTAGTCAAAAACTATAACAAGACTGCTCGTATTTGGGCAAAACCTTGAATGTTTCGATTGCTTTTCAAGGTTTATGGAGCAGAAATATCATGAAAAAACTAAATGTTATAAAATGAAATGGAAATTTTTTTCTAATTTTTGAAGTTTTTATTTGAAAATCATCCCCCACACCCCATATAAAATAAAAAAAGAATAGATTTCGTTCCTTGTAACAATTCATTTATGGCAAAGAAGCTTCTTTGCACCAATGTCGAATGATTTCTAAGACGGATTAAATCTGCGCTTACGCGTTAATAGCGCGAACTATATCGCGCGTTAATTCCCAAATTGATCAAAATGGCCATCTTCAAACCCCCATATTTTGATCGAAAATGACCAAAGATGAAATAATTTTTCAAAATCAAGCTCAAAACAACAATAATTTTTGAGAGATAAAAAAAATCCGTCAAAAATGGCTTGTTAAAAAGTCAAATTTTGTCTGAAGAAAAAAGCCATCCGAGCACAAGTATTCCGTTGTTTTCGTATCGAAAATCGGAACAAAAATTTTGTTTCAATCGACAAAAATGCTCTGAATGAATATACCACCTGAAACATATACATTTTGTTCAAAAATTGAATAAAAGCATTCTATGGTGTTTTATTTATATCTCTATGAGACAACCAACAAGACTGTTCGTACCAGGGTACAGTCTTGAATGTCCGAATTGCCGTTAAAAGTTATCAAAAAAGAAACTTTTTTGCTTAAATTAGATGATTGAAATGAGCGAACGAAAAATCGTTTGTTCCGACTTTCGAAGAAAGTACGGAATATTAACGCATGGGGTAGTTTTTTTATTCAGTCAACATTGGACTTTTTAACAGAGCATTGTTGGCTGAAATTTGGAGAATAAAAGTATACAACACTGCTCGTATCAGGGCGAAGCCCTGAATGTTCTGACTGCCTTTTAAGGTTTTATGGAGCAGTAATAACATTACAAAATTAAATGTAATAAAATTTTTAAAAATTGTTTTTTTTTTTAAATTAAAATTTTTTTAATGAAAATCATCCCCCCACACGTCATTTAAAGTACAAAAAGATAGATTTAGCTTCCTCTTAACCAATTATGGCTATACATCAATTATGGCAAATAAGCTTCTTTTAACCAATTTGGAACGATTTTAAGACGGATTAACTCTCCGCTTACGCGTTAATAGCGCGAAATATATAACGCGTTAATTGTCCCAATTTGGCCAAAATGGCAATCTTTAAACCCCCATAACTTTACGAAAAATGATCACAGGTGAAATATATTTTCAAATTTGAGCTCAGGACAACAATACCTTTCGAATGATATAAAAAAATTCCGTCAAAAATGGCTAGTTAAAAAGTCGAAATTTGTCTGAAGAAAAAAAAAACCCACCCCGAGCACAAATATTCCGTTACTTTCGTATCAAAAGTCGGAACAAAAAAGCATTAATGTTCAAAAGAGTTTCAGAAGATCACTCTACAATTGAAGCTAATTAGAACATCATTTAAATTGTTCTCCATTGATCCCAGTTGTTCAGAAGTTTCTAGAGCACAAGTTTTTATTTACTATCTTTCACTTTCGTTTTCGCACGCACACTCTTTGTCCCAATCTTCGTTCAGAAGATTTTTTCGACGTTCTAAAAAAACTATAAATTTCACTTTCTTCTTCGTGTTCTGCCTCTTGTTTTCTTATCTTTCATTGTACAATAATCTAAAATGTTCCAGAATATTCTATTTATTTGTTTACCTTAACTTTCTTGTCTTCCCACTCGTAGTCCTCTGGGTCGAATCTCTTGAATGCGATGTCCACGTAGTCCCTTTCAGTCAAAGTGGCACAAGTCCTCGCCATCATCTCACTCCGCACTCTCTTCGAATCGACATCCGCGAACTTATCCGCCTTTTCCTTCTCGTCCCCGAAGTGGTCATAGCACGACTCACGGAACAACGTCTTGCCAGAACCTGTGTAAAAGAATACGTAGTATATAAACCAGCCGAAGTATCAACCAGCCGAAAATGCGCAAGTGTTATATAATATTTATGCAACAATTATGTAACAGTCACGAAAATTATGCAAATTCACTATTATGATGTAAATTTTCGGTTGGCTTATATACTCTGCGCATTTTCGGTTGGTTTATACTTCGCCTGGTTTATTTACTCTCAAAAGAATAGTTCCTGCTAATTCTGGATACGATAAGGCGAGGAGGGATACCAATTTGAGAGTGTTCGCCTCTTTCGAAGCAAGATTTGAGCGGTTTTTTAGACGATTGCGCTCAAAATCGTGCTTAAAAATTAGCGGTTTTTGAGCGATTTAAAAAAAAAAAACGCTCAAAAAACCGCTCAAGATTTGAGCGGTTTGAGCGGTTTTTTTAGACAATTACGCTCAAAATCTTGCTTCCAAATGAGCGGTTTGAGCGGTTTTTGAACGGTTTATCTAAAAAAATCGCTCAAAAACCGCGCAAGATTTGAGCGGTTTGAGCGGTTTTTTTAGACAATTACGCTCAAAATCTTGCTTCCAAATGAGCGGTTTGAGCGGTTTTTGAACGGTTTATCTAAAAAAACCGCTCAAAAACCGCGCAAGATTTGAGCGGTTTGAGCGGTTTTTTTAGACAATTACGCTCAAAATCTTGCTTCGAAATGAGCGGTTTGAGCGGTTTTTGAACGGTTTATCTAAAAAAACCGCTCAAAAACCGCGCAAATCTTGCGCGGTTTTTGAGCGGTTTTTTTAGATAAACCGCTCAAAACCGTTCAAATCTTGCGCGGTTTTTGAGCGGTTTTTTTAGATAAACCGTTCAAAAACCGCTCAAACCGCTCATTTTGAAGCAAGATTTTGAGCGTAATTGTCTAAAAAAAACCGCTCAAACCGCTCAAATCTTGCTTCAAATTAGGTGAAAAATCTCGACTCGGGGAATCACCGTTCAAGATAAATGACAATGGCTAAAATGAGGGGCGTATTAAAAAGAAAGAGCGGGTCTGAACGCCCCCTTTCAATTCTCTTACAGCAAAAAAGATTTTCTTAAACTATTCGCTTATGTTCCGACAAAAAGGTAACACCTTCTTAGCTTTTCTCCGTAAAATTAAATTGTTCGATAACCCAAACCCCTTTCTCGATAACCTTAGATCTTGTTACTCAGAGTGGAGTCTTAAAATTCAGTGCTGATTTAAAATAACCGGACAAAACGCCCGGGTTGACCTCCATACGCTAAAAATGTTGGTCATACAATTCTACAATAGAAAAATGGTTATCTATCATACAAATGCAAACATGGAGTAAATAGAAAATTGTAGGCATATTTTCAATGGCAGCTTTTTCTATTTAAAATTTTTGAAATTTAAGGAAGTTTTTTCCTCTTCTTAGTCGCAAAATCATTTCAATGCTCAAAACTCGAGTAAATTTTTCCGATTTTTTTTCTCTGATATAGTACAGGCTGAAATTTTCATGCAAATGAATCAAAATTGACAATGAATTTCCTCTGTGCACCCAACTTGAATTTTTTTTTCCTTTTTTAATATGTAAAATAAAAAGTTTTATCTGTCAAAACAAAACAAGCCACGATTTCAAGCCACTAAAATTTCTGGAGCAAAAGTTTTCTAGCCATATACAAAAATGTACTAGTCTGAGTGAAACTTACCGTAATATGTTAGATGGCTTATCTCTGATAGCAGTTTATGTGTGATGTTATTCCACAATCTGAAGGGTTCACTAATTGGAGAAAAATTTGGTTATTTTGTGTTCATTCAATATTTGTGTTCATTCAAATTTAATATGAACAGTTTAAATATAAGCAGCATATAGTACAGCTACATCAAAAACTCTCCCCTCTCATTGCCAAAATCGTTCACTACAAATTGTATATTTTCGTTTTCAATTCAAGACTTTACAAAGATTATGTAGAACCAGTATTGCAACATGGAGTTTTATTATAAGCATTTTACGCAATTATTTTTTTAACTTGCAAAGAACGGATTTTGAGAAAAATTAAGAAGGATCACAAATTTTCCACAAGCAAAGACATTTATGTATATGAATTGATTAAAACAATGGCAAAAGTAACAAGACTGCTCGTATCAGGGCAAAGCCCTGAATGTTCCGACTGCCTTTTAAGGTTTATGGAGCAGTAATAACAATTAAAATGATTCAATAAAATTCAATAAAATGAAACAAAACAAAATATATTTTTTTCTAAAATGTGAAATTTTTTTAAATGAAAATCATCACCCCACACGCCATATAAAGTACAAAAGGATAGATTTCGCTCCCTGTAACAAACCAATTATGACAAATAAGCTTCTTTTAACCAATTTGGAACGATTTCTAAGACGGATTAACTCTCCGCTTACGCGTTAATAGCGCGAAATATATCGCGCGTTAATTGTCCCAAATTGGCCAAAATGGCAATCTTTAAACCCCCGTAACTTTACGAAAAATGATCACAGGTAAAATACTTTTTCAAATTTGAGCTCAGGACAACGATACTTTTCGAGTGATATAACAATTTCTGTCAAAAATGACTAGTTAAAAAGTCAAAATTTGTCTGAAGAAAAAAAACCCACCCCGAGCACAAATATTCCGTTACTTTCGTATCGAAAGTCGGAACAATAAAATATAACATCCATGCTCCACAATCAGCAGCGTAGTATCAAATGAAAACATTGAGCAACGTATCAAACATAAAAAAAAGCTGCTCGTATCAGGGCGAAGCCCTGAATGTTCCGACTGCCTTTTAAGGTTTATAGAGCAGCAGTAATAACATAAAAAAACTAAATGAAACAAAATAAAATGAATTTTTTTTTTCTTCTAAAATTCAAAATTTTTTATAAAAAAATCATCCCCCCAACACGCCATATACAGTATAAAAAGATAGATTTCGTTCCTTGTAACAAATCAATTATGACAAAAAAGCTTCGTTCAACCAATTTGGAACGATTGATAAGTCGGATTAAATCTCCGCTTACACGTTAATAGCGGGAATTATATCACGCGTTAATTGTCCCAAATTGATCAAAATGGCAATTTTTAAACCCTCATAACCTTACAAAAAATGATCACAGGTGAAATATCTTTTCAAATTTAAGCTTAGAACAACAATACCTTTTGAATCATATAAAAAATTCCGTCAAAAATGGCTACTTAAAAAGTCGAAATTTGTCTGTAGAAAAAAAACCCACCCCGAGCTCAAATATTCCGTTACTTTTGTATCAAAAGTCATAACAAAAAAAAACGCCTTACAAACAAAAAAAGGTACATCAATTAAGTTTAAGTATAAGATGTTTAAGTAGTTTAAATATTGCAACTAGTTTAAGTATAAGAAAGCTACTTAGTTTGAAAAAAGTTTTATTCATGAATGCAGCAATGAAAACAAAAGAAAAAGAAATGACAATTTGATGCATCAATTTCAAGATTTGAACATAGTAGGCATAAAGATCTTAAACTAATTATTGTTCCGACTTTCGATAAGAAAGTAACGGAACATTTGTGCTCGGGGTGGGTTTTTTTTCTTCAGACAAAATTCGACTTTTTAACTAGCCAATTTTTGACGGAATTTTTTTATACCATTCGAAAGCTTTTGCTCTCCTGAGCTCAAATTTGAAAAGATATTTCACCTGTGATCATTTTTTTCGTAAAGTTACGGGGATTTAAAGATTGCCATTTTGGCCAATTTGGGACAATTAACGCGCGATATATTTCGCGCTATTAACGCGTAAGCGGAGAGTTAATCCGTCTTAGAAATCGTTCCAAATTGGTTGAAAGAGCCTTATTTGCCATAGTTGATTTGTTGCAAGGAGCGAAATCTATCCTTTTGTACTTTATATGGCGTGTGGGGGGATGATTTTCATAAAAGATTTCAAATTTCAGAATTTTTTTCATTTTGTTTTGTTTCATTTAATTTTTTAATGTTATTACTGCTCCATAAATCTTAAAAGGCAGTCGGAACATTCAGGGCTTCGCCCTGATACGAGCAGTCTTGTTTACTTAGCACTCTTCTTATTATACTGAGCGCTCGTGATAGCAGCGACCATCATCAAATAGCACAGACGATATTGCAGCTAACTGCCCATCAAAATAACGAAGATCGAGACTTACGCGAGATAAATTTTTTTGTTCAATATCAAACCATTGAGAAAATTGTTTCATGGTTCGATATTTAAGACTAGCTCATGTCAATAACTAGGAACCCGGTGTTGCAGAGGCAAAATTTTGTCAACCTGCCTTGGAAAAGAATTCGAATCACGTGTGTTTAGTGGTTCGGTCTATTCGCTAAAAACCTGTAAGAACTCCGAAGCGTGCACTTATTTCTTTTTCACGGATGTAACGTTTTAAGGAGAGTTTAACGAAAGATAATGGATTTGAGATAGCGTCAAGGCGTTCACCTAAGTATTATGGATAATAATTGGTTATAATCGATTTCCGATATAATTATTCCATAATAATCGACTATGGATGTTGCAGTTGCAAAACATTTGTCGAACTGCCCGAGCCAGAAGAGAGCTGAAATCACATGCAGTTATAATGACTTGGTCAAATTGTTCCAAAGTCCTTATAAACACATAATACGCATGCGCTAATTTCTCTCTCCGTCAAGTAAAGTTTTAATGAGATTTTAGCGACTGAGTTAGAGTCACTTAAAGGTGTTCACATAAGTATAATGGATATTGATTAGGTACAATGGGTTTTAGAGACTACTTTACTTCTTTATGACCGATTATGGATTAAAATTTCAGAACGCGCAATTGATTATATTGCCATTGCAATCGATGATATTCGAGAAAACTAAGCCCACTATGATTTAAAATGTGCGTGTATAAACTACATTTTTTTTCAACAATTTTCAATTATTTTCGTCAACATAAGCTATTAAAATGATTCTTATAGAGAACAAAAACACACCCGTTCTGACAAAAAATGAATTGCAATCGTTTTTATACAGACAAAGTAGCAGAGACCTTGAAAAACCGATTTGAGTCGATTTCAAATCGATTTAGTTTAATACAAAAACTTAGCATAAAAATCAATTTCGATCGATTTTAAATCGACTCGAATCTTTTTGTCAACGTTTTTTGGTTTCGTTTTTGTACGTATTAGAGTGACAATAAAATCATTTTGAATAACTTTTTAACGAATTTTTTCTATACCAATTTTATACATATTATTTTCAGGTTTTCTACATTATCAAACAACAGAGAAACAGTAGAAATAAAAGTTTAACATATGCTTTTCGATTGACTTTTCGTTCTTTTGTTTGGCCTGAAAATAGCCTATGAAGATAATTATTGTTATCTGAAACTTCTGCGCCGAAAATGATGTTTCCTTATTTGATAATCTAATTATATGGTATTTTCCTAACACAATTGAGCCTAGAACGTTGATAACATAAGTGACATTTAGAAAGATTTTGCATAGCTGTACTTCTCGTTACCGCGAGAACCCTTACCTATGGACATTTGAAAGGAACCCAATTAAACGCAAAAGTTTGCGTTACAAATCTTTCCTCGGGTGACTTTTGCCGTCTGTAGCTCTCCTTGAGAATTTCTCGAATATAAAAAATTGCTCAGCTTTGAAACAAAATTAGTTTTGCCAGGTCAGTTTTGTTGAGATGTTATTGAATTTTACTACTATCCAAAAATGCGTTTTTATGCGTACGAATCGAATTTTCTCTACTGTGAAAATCCTATGATCCATTCTAAATCAATTTACGTATTTAAATGGGCTATCTTAATTACTATATTTTCTGTACAAAAAAAATTGATTTAAATTTATTTCATTCTGAAGTTTTTCAGTGCGGGCATTATACACCATTATAGTTAATCTTAACCAAGTTTCTTTTTGAAAGTAAAACCGTATGTTTTTGCTAACATTTTGCAAAAATTTAAGAAGAAACTCCAATGAGAAGCTTCAAGTTAATTAGGATTAAACTTTGAAGTTTTATTCACGTTTATCGCTATCTTACCCGCACGTTCACCCTAGTAGATCAAAGTGGAAACTTTAGTTAAACTTTAGAATTAACAACTTAAGAAACTTTAGTTAAATTTTAAAACTAACAACAAAACCTCTGGCGTCAAATCCAGGCTCAAAAATGATTGACATAATTCGGCTTCTGAAGCAGAATTGTTATAGAGCTGCCGGTTTTCAATCATTCTGAAAAATTTGTAAAATTTATTAAAAATGAAAGCTGCAATTCTATTTCTCGGAAATACCAAATACGCACCTGTGCTCTACCCGAATAACCTTCCAACAAAAACTGCTTTTTTTCTCAGAAACACAAAAACGAATATATCAGCGGTTCTTCTGATTTACTATCTTGCTTCTTAAATGTGCTCTGCTCGTTTTTTCAATTTTTTTTTCGAAAAGCTATATTAGCCATACGTTTTTTATATAAACGTATGGCTAATAAGAGTTATCATACAGCAGCTATTTTTTCTACGAAGCCACAGAATTTGCTCTATACAGCAGCAAAAACCTTTGGGGCCAAGACTTGACTGTTTTTAGCTCAATAGAAATCTTTGATGTGTTTTGTTCTTGTCAAAGTTTTTGATTTGCTTTCACTACTTTTGTTTTGTATTAACACATCTAAATGAAATCATGCGCAAGTTCAAATTACTGTTCAAGTGGTCTACACCTCACACAAAACGCCAATCACAAAATTTCTACGTCGATCATCACAAAACGTCGATCATAAAACTTCGATCATAGTGCTTGCCAAATCCATTATCCTCAATTTTTTTTGAGAAATTTTTTAGCAGAATTAACTTGCCGCAAACACTGGAAAACACCGTCAACACAGAAAACTGGCAACAATGCGAAACAGAAAACTGGAAATTTTACAAAAAGTGTTGTTTGAAAAGTCTATTTTTCTGTACAAAAACAACCTTCCACAAAAATACTGACTACTCAGACAGAGAGACACCGGACAAAAATTACTGATTTGCTCTCGAAAGAATTTGGGACTCATTTTCCTTTCCTCCATCTTAAACGAGCATCATGGTTATGGTAAAATGGGTAGGTTTACAAGGTTAAACATGAAGACTAGGCATGTTTTGTTATAGCCTAATTAGACCGCGTGTGAGTTTTCAAATTAATCAAACATTAATGAAAAAATTCAAGTTGTAAAATTTCGCAGGTTGGGGTTTTGTATGAAACAGAGCTAAGCGTGACACTGAAAGATTTTTTGCTAACTCAGTTATGAAAACTTAGTACACTTTCCGATATTGGTTTCTCAATTGCTTTTCTGATTTTTCGAAAAGGTGTTTTTTCACTGCCCGTGGTTGTGTTCTAAACTTTTTGCTGCAAAGAATATGAACTAATTCGTATGGTCTTCTTTTTCCATGCAGGAGAGGATGCAGTGGACTGATTCGACTGGAAGTTCAGACGACCTATGATTCAGACGCCCATGTGACAAAAATTTTGAAATTTTTTTCAGTCTTCTGATAATTTCGATCAAGTTTTAAAGCTGTTTGGCGGGGAATGCTAACTTGGTTTTATGTTGGACTTTTTTAAAATTCAAAAATCTTTTTTTTTGCCCAGCACTAAAGAAAACGAGTTCTTTTTAAACAGTGGGTGAGACTTTTCATTTAGTAAGTTGGGAAGGCAGAGATTGGCAATCGATAGCAACAAAAGTTTTATGAAATTTTACCCTGCTGAGTTGTCGTGTTCAGTTATAGGTCAAATTCAACTATATGGATTTTTGGTCGAATGCTTAAATATTAATCGACCACCTCTTCTATCTTCACAGCGAAAAACTATCATGCATATTGTTCAATTTCAAAAAAGAGCACCTGGCAAAATTTTTTTGTCATATCTGTCATATCTGTTTTTGATTTTCTATGTTATGTTTTTTTCAACAATTTTTGGCATTCGCAAAGAAAACTCGTGAATAATGTTAAATAAAAGCCCTTTCGGTACAAGTGTGATAGAGGGGTCCCGATAAAAGCCAATTGTGAGAGAGGGGTCACAAATCACACTAACAGCCCCTCCCACTCTCCTGGTTGCCAATGTTTTTCCAAAGGGTCCCCCTTTGGTCTAACTTTACGTCATCCATTTTTGGCTCACTAACCTCAAAATTTTTCTAGAGGCACTTTTGGCGCCAATAAAGCTAATTTTTAGGGGGGAGCGCATGCCGAAAAAAAAGCGCTCCCCCCAAGCGCCGCCCCCTCCTAGAAAAAACGCCACTGAAAGAAACTAAATTGAACAACTTCGAGGTACTTTTTTTACCTTAGGGACCCGGTTACTTTCTTGGGACCCCCTATCACACTTTTACCACCCTTTCAGTCGTGATTAGGATTCCTAAAAACGACAAAAAAAGTCAAAATGTTTTTTTTTTTTTAATTTTTCTTATTTTCATATTTTTGTCGGAACATTCTATGTTACTAGCTCAGTAACACCCTATTCTTGTCTTTATTTACCTTTCATGCCCATCAAAAGCACCTTGCTTTGAGCCATGTTCTTGTCTGAGGTGAAATGGTCCAGGGCGGAGACAGTCTTGTTGAATTTGGACATGTTACTAAGGGTCAATTATAACAATGTAAAAAGCACAATAAATATTATTCAGAGAACAGCCTCTGCATAAAAATAACGGTAAGCAAAGTATATAAAAATTTAAATTGGTGCAATGAAAAGACTTCCTTTTATATCTATTTTGTACAGATCGTTTGAAGCTGTGCTGGTTGATCAAAATAGAATCGGCAATGGTGATAAATATTCAAAGAAGCAAGGGAAGCGCTATTTGTAGTAATACTGAACTTGTAGGTCGTAATTATTCCCTGAAACTGGGTAAAATTTGTATGGGACTGTAACTGTAATTCTATAAGCAGGAAAGTTATGGACGAAAGGAAAATCCACAGTTTCACGGAAATAGCGGTCTGGCTCAAGGCAATTGTGAAACACTTCTGCAAACGCTAGTTTGTACCAAATTTTGCAAAATTCGGAAACTTAGTTTCTGTTTAGCTAACATAGGTTGAAGTTAATGTTTACAAATATTCGAAGTTTTCTAAATCTATAAAATCTGTCTTTGCAGAATATCAAAGACTTTTGTCAAAGAGAAAAACGGAGACTTAAACTTTTGTGCAGGGTTTTTCAAAGAAGCGTAAAAACAAATAAAACTATAGTGAAACTTCTTTGAAATATCAAAGATATAAAACAAAACTTAACTTTGTATTACACAAACCATTTGCTCGAATGGTGAAACTCTAGTGCACTCGTATTTTCGTTCACTGATAATTTTAAAAAGTGTAGTGAGAAGTATAGTTTGGAATTACTCGAATTCTATTTCAGGTCTTTTCATAGGAATCAGAAATCAAATTCCAGTTTTAAATAAACCTTCAAAGTCTGCTCAACTGGTCAAATTGTTCAATGGTATATGTCGTCGTGGTACGTTCGAGTGCAAAGAAATTGCGGCGTTCGCTGAAAATAATCCCTGGGATTATATAAGGATAAGCTTCATATGTCCTTTTACCCCAGGGGGCAAATATAGAATTTAGGCGGTATAACCAACCGGTGGTTTGTTTTTAACTAGACAAATATCCCAGAGGAAGTAGCCATCACAAAGCAGGCAAATATTGATTCAACGAAATAAAAGGCTCGAGTTCAGAATGGCCCTCAAAATTATTTCCATATTCTTATGTTCTTAGGTTAGCACATTCATATGTTCTAAATTTTTTCTCTTGGTCACGTAATTTACAATTTTTCCCTCAATTAAAAAATCAGAAGTGTTTTTAAACCTTTTTCAAAGTTGTGTTCACATTTTTGTTCACGTTATAAAATAAAAAGATGCATCACTCAATTTTTTGAAAAAAAAAAAAAAACAATACTGGTTTACTAAAAATTAAAAAACAGTAACTAAACCAACTAAGCTTTTTCATCGTCTTTGTTGTATATCGAATTGCATTGACTGAACAATAAAAATAATGTCCTGTCCTATCATTTTCAACCGTTTCAATGGGTTAAATAAAATTGAGAGCGAAATCGTAGAAATAATGACAAGCCCCTGCGATTTTAGACTTTTTTCACTCAAGTAATAGAATTGATTTGTTCCTCATTTTTATAACTAATTTATGACCGAATTCCCCCCAAGGAGTTAAATTGAAAGACACCTAATTAAGCCTCCGGTAGAGAGAATATAGCTGATGAAATGAAGCACTTTATAATCCTCTTGTCTTGTTTCCAAGGAAAGTCTGCCATTTGCAATGGAAAATTCAGAATTTATTATTCTTAAGCTGAAGAATTTTCAAGGAAAGGACTATTCAAAAATATATAATGCGCAGGCAAGGTTTTTATTATCGGCGCGAAACTGAGCGTTCGTCGAGAATGTCTGCTTATAAATCCCTGCAACATTCACCATAAAATCGATAAAAAGTAGCAAAATGCATTTATTCCTCTTTCTTTTACTTCACAGACCATTTATTTTCGAAATGTTCTACTTGTCAAAATTGTTGAAAAAGCAGGAAAATGTACCATTTCATTTCCTAATTTCATGAGAAAAGCTTTTAAAGTAGAATTGGCTTGTTTCCCAGGGGCATATTTTTTTTTGGGGGGGGGGGGGGGGGGATGGCGTGTTGGGTGGACGCCTTCTTCTCAGAGATTCGATCCCCTCGCCAACCAAAGGGTACCCTCTTTGGGATTATTTTATGATACTCAATTTCGGTCGACCTTTGGCGCCAATATATTCTGTTTTTGAAGGCGCGCGCCGAAAAAACGCATTTTTTTTGGTCAAAATTTCTCAAATAGTGTTAAAAACTGCCTTTCTGACCTGTTTTTTCAAAAATTTGCCTGTGATGCGATTATTTTTTTAACAAAAATAGTGTCTTTAAGTATTCTGAGAGTGCACGAAAAATCAATTTGGCCGACCAAAAAAATGGTCGATAAACTTTTCGAAAACGTTTTGAAGATCCTAGAACCTCGAGAATCTCCTAGATCCGCCCCTGATGTCTCCTCCCATAATGGCCTAGTAAAAATATATACAACCAGACTACTCTGCGTTGATGTACGTACATTGGAAAGGGGCTATAATTTGTTGAAGAGCGGGGGTTGTATAACTTACTGAAGGGCGGGGGTTGCATAAATTGCTGATGGTGGTTAGTCGGGGCTATAATGGGTAGGAGTCTGAAATTGACCCTTGGTAGTTTATATCGACTAATTCCCCTTCCCGCCCGCTCGTAAAGTTAGAATATAAAATTGTTCAAAAATTGTTCACACGGCCTTTACTTTTAATCAGTATTTATCTTTGATAATTTCGAATTGATTTTATTAAGATAATACAATCGTAAAAAATGAAAAATTGAAGCTAAAACGACGAATAATAATGTCTTTCAAAATTGGTCACACTTCAAAGGCATAAGGACATAAAGCAATCATATGAAATTTGACTATGAAGCTGAATAAATTGGGAAGACTTCCTCTGAGACGGAGAATCAGGGTTTCCAAAATGACTCCCACAAAATTAAATCCGTAGGGAACAGGAAGCTGTCCACTTTTCAGTGATCGCATTCGCGTTTTCACTGAATGCGAGTTATTACTAGCTTCAGAGTTAAAGTGATATTATAACGAAAAAAATCTCGGAGAGAAGTCGTGATGGCGTAACAAAAAACACCGGTCTATTTCCAAACTGGTCAGGTTAGGTGGGAAAAAATGATCAAAAGTGACACTAGCAGTGTGGTTTTTAAAACGGTCCGCAAAACTCAACGTTAAATTGGAGCAAACTTGAACAACGAACTGAGAATTTCAAGCGTGATTGAAGTTAAAACAGAATATCAAAAATTTAAAGAGAATTATTGATGCAATCGCAGAGCCAGGATTACGGGTGAAATCTTTTTCAATAATAAATATTAGAAAACCAGATCAAAAGAATTATTTCATTTGAACTTTCCGTTGTAGTGACGTTCAAAATTCCATGTTTGTCACAAAAAAACGTAGAAGAATCAAGAAAAGTTATAAAATCATGAGATAAACGAAAACTCTTTGCTCGAAAATTAATAAGCTCCACTGATGGAATCGATAACAAATTTTATCTAGGTGCTAGTAAAAAACAGTGACTATAGAAATGAGTCTCTTTGTAAATGTTACGCATCTTAAGTCCTACCCAACAAAGTTTTCGATATAAAAATTGTTTTCAAAAACAATACAGTTGTATCGTTTTCGGAAACACAGTTTATATAGCGACATCAGTGGCGTGCGCAGAAACTTTTCTAGTGAGGGCGATTTTTTGAAAAAATTTTGAAAATTTTGCCGACCTTTTTTTTAGGTCGACCAATTTAGTTTTCTGAGCTCTGCTAAAGTAGTATAAGGACCGTGTTTTTTGAAACATTTTCTGCACCTCATGCAAATTTATCAAAAAAGGCCAAAAAGGTCGTTTTTAGGCACTATTTGGAAAGTTTTGCCCAAAATTGCTGTTTTTTTTTTCGCGTGCGCTCACCCCTCAAAATTAGACATATTGGAGCCGAAGGCGTCTTTAGAAAAACTTTCAGGTTCCTCACCGAAAAATGGATGTCATAATGTTATCCTGAAGAGGGACCCTTTGGAAATTTTGGCTACCAGAATTGAGGGGAGATCGCAAACCCTTCCTCGGCACGCTACTGATCGACATATACTTTAACATTTCTGCGACCCTAAAAGTCGAAAATTTAGTCGCGCACCTCGACCTGGGAAGACTGCTTGACTGCCAGTATTGGGGCAAAACTCTGAATGTTCCGACTGTCTTCTAAAATCTATGGAATATTGTTTGGTTTAGAAAAAAATATATAAAACTTTTTTTAAAAAAATTAAGAAAAATTATTTTTTTTTCGAATTTTTTGCGATAACCACCCCTCACACGCTATAATATTTTCAGCATATAGTTAAGTATAAACTAGATCAAATAGTTTTTCTCATATCAATTTGGAACGATTTCTAAGACAGTTTAACCGCTTACGCGTTAATAGCACAAAATATACAGCGCGTTAATTATCCTAAATCAACCAAATTGTCAACTTTTAAACCCCCATTGCTTCACCAAATTGATTAGAAAAAACACCGAGCACAAATACTTTGAATGTCGTAACAATCCCAAGAAAAACATAATCCGATGTAAGGTTTTTGTAATTCAGTATGTCTTTTTTTTCCATTCCAAATTTGCAAGTTTTCTTGCAGGATGCTTTGCTGCAGGATTGATGTCAGCAGAAAACCACCAGCAATTTAAAAAAATTTGTCGTACAGATTGTTTTTATAGATGTGATGTGACAGTTGTCAAAAATCTAAATGGATCGCTCTGGGAAACATAGATATACGGCAACCACATGATTTTTATTATTTTATGAACAAATTAGAAAGATTTATAATCGGAAGAAAAATCAGGCGTTTTAGAAGTGTTTATCGCAAACTTTTGTCCCACAGTGACAAAAAGCCGTCCAATTTTTAGTGATAGCTTTATCACTGATTGTGATGGATTTAAGTTACAATGTGGTTTTCAAAGCAGTATGTGAAACTCATTGATAAAAATTTGAAGCACGTTACAATAATAACGTCTTAGTTAGAATATTGAGAAATCAAACAGTTTTTTTTGGTGGCGTCCCTCATGCTTGAAGGTCCGAATGCTTGAAATTAATTTTAGCTTACTTTCAGCCAATCAGGATTGAGTATTCAAAATCTCAAAGTAAGAAAATAAATCCAGGCCATTAGTGTTAATATTGACCGATTAGATAATAAGCAGATGAGTTTTCAAGACTTAAAAATTCTTATGAAATTGAACTCATAAATCTTGATGTATATCTGAATAGTATTGCGGTTGTAACCCGCAATTTGTAATATTTTTGATTATTTTCCACTGATTTAAAACATTTTCTGTTAATATTGACTTCGATTTTGTGAGAAAGGCATTAATCCAATAGGAACGCTTAGCGATTTTGATTTGTTGAAACGTATCAAGCATTCGTTCCTTCAAGCATGAGGACCCTCCCCGTTTTTTGACGCATTTCATGGCACAAACTACGGGTTTTGAAAAAAAAACAAATTAAAAAGATTAGCATTAATGTTGTTAACCCTTAGCGAAAAAACTTTTAAAGTTGTATGTTTCTCACAGTAAAAAGGGTTTTGTCTTATTTCGAAATCTAAATTTTAAGGAATTCTATCTAAATTTTAAAGAATAATAAATTGAGAACTAAAATTTTAAAATAATTTTTGCCTCATAATTTTTTTCCCGGTAGTTGTTTTTTGTTAGGTTTTGATCCAGGGGCACTCCTCAATTTTTTGTCTTTTCATAAATTGATATACATTTGTGATAAGAGCTATCTAAAAAATTTTGCTCTTCTGATCCATCTAATATTGCAATTCAAACCTTTCAAGATACTTGTAGGGAATTTTAAAGTGAAATGCATTCACTTTTTTCTTCTTCTAAACATATATAACAAGACTCGAAAAATCAAATTGTTGCAAGATGTGCATTCTATTTTCAATGAAAATGCAGTATTTAGCATTCTACAGCTAAATAAATTAATTTTCACTTTCTTATTTTTTATACTTGAAAGGATATTTATAGTGAAAGTGGATATAGAGGAGTTGTCAAAAATTCATACGTTCATACAAAACTTTAAAATTTAAATCTATACTTTGCTAGAACTCA